AGAGCATAGCAAAGCTAAAAAAAAAAAAATGCTAGATAACAGTGTTACTGAGAAAATCTAGGTTTGTCTGGGAAGCTAATTCTGATCAATTTGACACCAAAGAGGATTTTATTTTATCTGAGCATCCTGGCAATGACACTAAGGAAATTTCCTATACCTTTGGTTTGGCTCTATGAAACTGACTTACAATGAGTCTGGGTATCCCTCTTATTACTTTGAAAGTGTAGGATAATGGAGAATAACATTAAAGTTTTCCAGTTTCCTTTTGTTTCATAAATCAGTAACTAAAATTATTGTGAAGGGGGAGCCTGGGTGGCTCAGTGGGTTAAAGCCTCTGCCTTCGGCTAGGGTCCCCAGGGTCCTGGGATCAAACCCACATCAGGCTCTCTGCTCAGCGGGGAGCCTGCTTCCTCTTCTCTCTCTGCCTGCCTTTCTGCCTACTTGTGATTTCTGTCTGCTAAATAAATTAAAAAAAATTCTTGTGAAGCTTCTTAGATTCTCCTTAGAGAATCTTCTCATAGCACGATTTGCTTCTGGTTCATGGAAGTTCCATATAGCAAGCTCACTTTTGAGGAAGACTTACACTGTGGTCAATCTTGGTTGCCCAGGTTGTGTGATAGGATGGATTAAAACCCCATTCCCAACAAGGAGTATATCAGTGCTGTTTTTCTGTAGATTGCATAATTTCTTGTAAAAATCTTTAGCTTGTATGCACTCATGTCAGAACTTTGATTCCAGATGGCTATTTCCAATATGCCATCTATATATATGCCTTAAAATACTACTCTGATCTCTTCTTCCTTCTCCCAGCCAATGAATTATTTATAATTCTTTTCATAAAGAGATAATCAGCTAAAGAGCTTTCTCAAAGGTGGCAAAACTAAAAAGTAAATTAGTTTTATAATTTCAAAAAATTAGCTGACTATTCATTTATTATAATGTTTTCAGACTACTTTAGACTCTCAAAGGAAGAATAATAGTCCAGGATAGTGCTATAAGGTTTCTTTTATGGACAGAGTAAGCCATTTAATCTTGACAGACTCAACTGTTTTTGATTTTCTGCCATGGATATCCATCAAAGAAATAGTAGTTGTGATTAATAGCATTTTGTCTACTAACCAAAAGCATTTACAGTGTATACCTGGAATATATTCCAAAATGGAGGATAACATTACAGCTTTAAAAAGTTCAACAACCCAAAAAAATCAATATCAGTTGGAAGAAAAAGCTTTTATGAAGATACTTCTAAGACACATGGAAAATAAATTTTTAGATTTTTCGTTAGTTTTAAGAAAAAGTAGAAGAAAAACCTTCAGGAGAAGGTTTTTTTTTTCCCATTTTAAGATGAACACCATTCTAGGTATTTACTTATCAATGTCTATGTTCAAAATATGTAGAAGATTCTCTGAAATTGAATAGAGCATTGTAAATTTTTTATTAGCTAAAAAGAACCTACCACCACCACTTATTTTCTGCCATCAAGCTAAAAATTCTAGAATGGTGAGGGCAGCAGGGCAGGTAGAGTGCTACACACCTAGAAAAACAGTGGTATCCAAATACAGACTCTATGTTTTCATAACAAAGTCACAGAGTTCCTCTCTGCACATAGAGACCCATGAGACAAAAGCAAAACTGAGAAGAGAGGTGATGGGCTAACGTGCTCCTCAAGCAGACTTGCAAATAGATTAGCTCCGAGGAGAATTCTTGCAAAAATTATCAACCTAGAAAAATGTGCCAGATGGATACATGTAGGAAAGGCAAAGCAAAATGAAAATATCATTGTATAGAGCATAAGTTTTCTCATTGATTCATTCAATTATGCATTTATTTATTCAGTCCACAAATACGTACGAAATTCCAATAACCAGAAAGGCACTGGGCTTAAGCAATAAAAAATGATCTCCAACCTCCTAGAGGAGAAGAGAATTTACATTTGTTGAAGGCAAACTGTGGCCAGGGGCTGTGTGTAACTTAGTCAACTCTGTCAAAGTTTTTTTTACATTCCTCCTTTCATGTCTGGGGAAGCTGAACCTCACAGAGTTAGGTCGTTCGAGGTCATGCAAATAGCAAGTGGCAGAGTTGAGACCTCCAGACTCGCTTTGTCTCCGTAGCCCACTACCCCACAGTGTCCGTCATCTGGCAGGAAAGCCAGAAACACGCATAGTGGCCCATAACACAGGCCAGAGACGGGGACGACCCCAACGAGGGAGACGGAGGGGACCTACTGGAGGAGCGCATAGGAGGAAGCTGTTCATCCTACAGGCCTCCAGCTTGCCTCTCCCGGCCCAGAGAAGTTGGCACTGGAGCTGGGCCTTGGAGACAAATGCGGAGGAGCGTTTTAGGTACAGACACGCAAGCGCATTGCAGGTTGAGGAAACAGCTACGGTCTCACGCGGCTGGAAACCGTGTTTCACTTACTTTATTTGTACTACAGTTTTGAATTTTAGGTTATTTGGCAGCAGACCCGGACAGTGCTGCGGCCAGCAATCATTACAATACAATGAGTCTCACGGGCTTTGGAGTTAGAATAGAGGCTTTGAATCTCGGCTCTGCCACCTGCCACTTGGGGGAACTGGAAAATCATGTAAGCCTGGTTTGATTAAATGGGGAGAATCAGCAGGAGGCTATTCTACGGAGAAAATGAATTGATATATACGTAAAGTGCTTAGGTGAGTTTATAGCACAAGGTTTACACTAAATGGGCTGTTGTGAATTCTACATCAGAGTGATATGAGAGTATCTCTAGCAGCATTCAGTTACTGCGGATTCTCTTGCGTTTTGTACCACGGCGCGTCTGAACAGCACTCTGCTATGTAGTACTGACTGAGCTCTCCTCGGTACTCACAAGGCACACCTTTGGCGATATTCTCTCTCTTTCCTGCCGGCTTGCTGCTTTTTGGGCTTCCTCTACTCTCAACAGACAGAATCTTCTTTACCGCATTGCAGGACCCACTTGACCTAATGTACAATTTGGCAGATATCACAGAATAACGTGTACACTGAGGTTCAGCAAAGACTATTTTACCCACTCATCACTTCGACAGCACATAGAGGGAGGATCCAGTGTGCCCTCGCCTAGTGGTTGAGAACCAGTGGTACAGAGTGGGCTACACTGGGGTTGGGGGAAGGGTGGCAGGAGAAGTCAGCCAGGTTACGGTCAGAATGGAAAGGAGCCTAAATACCATGCTGGGGGATTTGGTCTTGATCCTGTAGAACTGGAAAGTCAGGGGAAAAATGAAAGTGGATGGAGAGACGGAATGGTCCCCACACCCCACCCTGCCATTCCTATGTTAAAGCCCTAAATCCATGTGTAACTGTATTCTGAGATAGGGCCTTTAGGGGGGTAATTAAGGTTAAATGAGGTCACAAAGGTGGGGCTCTAATATAATAGGACTAGTGTCCTTATAAGAGGAGGAAGAGACACCAGAGTTTTCTCCCTGCGCCATGTGAAGACCCAGGAGAAGCCGGCCATCAACAGGCTAGGAAGAGAGGATCAGAAACCAGCTATGATGGCATCGTGATCTCAGACTCTCAGCACTCAGAACCAGGAGAACATAAAATTCTGTCGTTCATGCTAACCAGGCTGTGGTATTTCACGACTGCGGCCCAAGCACCCTAATGCAGAAGGAGAAAGGCATGACTGGACTTGGGTGTTAGGAAGCTAACTTGTGCGTTGTGGGCACTGCTGTGCATAATCTTTGTTCAACTCAATATATTCTTTGAAACTCAGCTCCTTTGGGGAGATTTCTTGATTCCTTAAGTTTCATTTTGATGTTCTTCAATGTGTTTCCATAGTAGTGTGACCATATACATCTGTCGTAATAAAGTATCATAATTCTTGACTTCAATTGACTGTCTCTCCCACCAGACTATAAACTCTTTGAGATCAAGGACCGCATGTTATCTTTGCATTCCCAGCATCTAGTATGGTACTTGGCACTTGGTATTTCTCAATCAATATCTATAGAATTAAGTAATTAATATAGAAGAACCCGGGGCAAGGAAGCCAGTTCTAATAGCCCATTAGCAGAACAGCCACTTGTAACTCACATCATCTTAATTGTTTGACGAAACATGATAAGAATTGACAATAGTGTGTCTTTAGTTTTTTATTTCTAATCTCTTCCAAAAATGGAATGATTTTTACATCACTAAAAATTCGTTTCCATCCTACCCATTAAGTCCCAGTACAAATACATAGTTCCCAATATCCTCAAGAATGGAGCAAATGCTATTTAAAATTACTTCATTTGTTTGGAGGAATCACTAATAGTCTGTAAAGTGAATTAATGTGATCGGCAAACACAAATGCATTGTTCCGTAATCTATGTAGAATTCCCGACAAGTCTTTGAGTTTGCCAGAATATCCAATGATTAAAGACATTAGGCCCAACTGAATCTTCTATCTTTGCTTTTATAGTATAAGAACAGTTATAGGGATGGAACTTACCCATTAACCAAACAAAGTGTTCCTATAAATCACTGAATGAACTGCAGAGTTAAGTCTGTGTTTATATCATGAAAAGCAAACAAGGGCTGTTGCCGAAAAGAGATGTGTACAGTTGATTTGATGATACTAATTTGTTGAATTTCAGCCTTTAGTCAAAATGGTCCTAGGTGACAGGCTCATTCCTCCGATCGTTTAATTTTGACCTAATAAGATGGTCAGTCCTTTTGATTTTTCTAGTTATTACAATGTTCTTAGAACACTGTATATGGTTTGGGGCTTTACTGGATGGAAGGTGTGTGAATTCATTTTCCCCCATTTTCCTCTGATTCTCTTATTCCTGTATATCCTTGGGGTGAGAATAGCCAAAATTTAATACAATTTTTTAACCCTCAATTAAAATTCAAATAAAAGTTCTCTAACCGCTCAAGCTGATGTACCAGAAGTAGAAATATTTTACATATATGTGTTTAAAAAGAATAACTGGGATTATTTAGAAAATAATGATGAATTTCTAATGAAAATCAGCTTACCTTCTGAAATATTGGCCTACCTTTTGGAGATACTTTTTTTTCTCCTCAGATTCCTCAATCTTTCTGGTTTCAGCAGTGACATCTATAGTCTCTAAAAGAAATAAAATGGAATTCAATCTGAAATAATGTTGTCATGATGTTATAATAATGTTGATATAAACTTGGATAAATGTTAAAAGGTAACAGAGTAGGAAGGGAAACACAAATATGTACTGTCCTGAAATTTTACAAACCAGATTCTTAAATAATTGGAGACTGAAGTAATTAGCTGTGGCCAAAGGGAACCTCTAATCTCCTTAGGAGAGGAGTAAGCCTGAGTCCAGAGACAAGAAGAGGTCTCTGGAGAGAACATATTTGCAGTAAAAGAGTTTCCAATTTCTACAGTTCTATTCAACATGTTAGGGGGATTTCGACATTCACCTCTGGATAAGTAGGATGGTCTCCGAGATAGGGTTTTGGTATGCAATTCAGAAAGTTATACCAATGTGTAAAGAGGACTCCTTATACTTATTACCTATTTTCTGGAGGATCTAGGAATCAAGATGTTGAAATGCATGAGACATGGTACTTACTGTTTTTCTCAAGGCTAAAAGACTGGAAGTAAATTTTCTTTTAAAAAAATACAAAAGGGAAGTGAAGAAATTATTGGAAAGACCATAGGATTAAAGCTATTTAAGCTTTCTAAAAAGAGGGGAGTTATCTGAGCCTCCTATACCTATAAAAATTGCATAATAACAGTTTCTGTATCTGGGTTACTGAGGTTTTACAGGTTTGGGAACTTGGTTCCTAATATTGATTCTGCTTTCAACTTTCTCTGAGGCTTTCATGCTGGAACTTGATTATGTAAACAACCACCCTTAACATCCTTTCAGTCAACATATAACATTTCCCCTAGATGCTTCTCTGTTTAGCCAAATGGATGCCATAATCTAGGGGTTACTTTCAGATGTGGTTTTAGATGTAACAAGTATACCACTGATGCTTTACGGGTGGAAGAACTGCTGAAAATTTTTTAAAAAACTGCTTGTATAGGTTTTTTAAGTATTTGGAATGGAAGATTCCTATTTTAGAAGCAGGTTTAGCGGTTACTTGTGGGAGCGGCTCTGGTATCTTCCAGAGGTTGGTTATTGCTGATGGAGGCAGGAACCAGCGGCCGGAGGCAGCTACTCACCCCGCGGACGGCGCCTAGAGGGCCCGGCCACCGGCAGGCGCTGACTGCTACCTCGGGGCAGCACGAGCTGCGATTCGTTAGGAGGGTACAGGGACGCAGCGATCCAGAACTGCTTGGCCAAGGTGGAGTCCTGTTCCGAAGATCCGGTGAACACCAGTAGTCCCTGGGGGCAAATTTCAACGGATTCCCGGTGGCTGGGAAGCCTTCCGCAGGCCCTGGTTTCCATGGCAACTCTGGACGCTTCTTTGCGTTCCCTCGCTCTTCTCCCAGCCCCGCCCTACAAAGAACCGTCCCGTTGGCAACCACCACCGCCAGAAGCCCTTCGATTCCTGGAGAGATGCTGGGGTCCAGCGCGTGCCTGCGGGTTATCTGAAGCCCCCTTCTGCGGTCTCACAGGCTTCGGGACCCGTCCAAGCCTCGGCAACGAGATAGGAACAGTCAAAACATCAGGTTTGGGGTGGTTCTTGTCCTGTTGGGAGTTAGTAGGGGGCACTTGAGCTCACAGCATCTCAGTCAGCCTTCACCTCCCCCCGGCCGCTTCATTTCCCCCCAAATATATCTAAATAAAGCTTTTCAACCCTTAGTACTACCACCCCAACCCACCTCTCCTTCTACACCAGACTGCCACAGCTCAGCACGCCCTATGTGGACAGTGGTTGGAGAATTCAATAGGGCAGCTAACATCCTAGTTTATGGGAGCCAGGGCACTGAGCTGGCTGAGAAGTATCTGTGGATAAACTTTTTGTTGTGTATTCCCCTGGTCCTTTAAGAGCAATCTCATGTAAGATGCTGGATTTAGATTGTAAGTGCATTTACTAACCTGTCCCACTAAAAGCTACTTGCTCTGCAACTGTCCTAAATGGGCACTTAAAAGGACTGTATCTGATGTGTGGACTCAGTCCCTTCCTGAAAAATAAATTATGAAAAATGTTCATGTAATCTTATAAAAATATTAATAAGTGTGAGTGAATAACTTTCCTGCTCCCAGGAAAGTTAATCTCGTTAATCTAGGAACACTCCAACCATTCCAGCCATAGCAAAGTTGTAATTACTGTGGCAAGAATGGAGACGAACATCAGAAAGCCAACTCGGGAAAGGTCAGTAACCACAATTTATGACCTTATGGCACTTTATTCTTTCAAAATATTAATACAGTCTCACAGTTCAAACGTGGATAATCACAAGTCTATACAATGACATAGATCAGTGAAGGAAAAAGTCCTATTTCCCAATATATCTAAAAAATATTTTTTGGTTAAGAGCCTGAAGGAAATTGGTAAATTATAAAGACATATAAATTAAAAATGCTGATTTTTTTCCTGTTAATGGGCAATGGGTAATATTGGAGCATTTCCAAACCCCGCACTCCCCCAACACAATGATGTACACAGGCAACTCATTTGGATGATTCCCAAATCTTTTTACTTGGCCGTGTGGTTAGTGATTGGTACTATTAGCAATCAGCTAACTACACTGCCTAGTAACTAGACTCACAGAAAAAAAAAGGTTTACTTCCATCAGGCACTGCAGTCCCAAGTTGGTGCCCCATACGCTGTGATAGACCAACCTTACTGGTTCATGGTTCAACGGTAGCTCCCTTTAGTTGGTGGGTTGGCGAATACCTTACTAAATAATGAAAAAGGGACAATGAATCACACCGTACAGCATTAAACGTTACCTAGGGGACTCCTCCCCGAAGTCTGAATGGTCATTACAGGTCACAGTTAAAGCCATTAAACTTTACACTTGTCGCTCTCCTTGCAGGCGGGTTGCCCGTCCTGCCCCTGCTCCCCGCGCAGCTGACCGTTTAACTGCATCTAGCGGCAGCCGTCGGGCTGGTGTGCCCGAGCGTCCTCGCAGGTTGACAACGTGCCCGGCGCGCAGCCGGGCGGCAGCAAACGCTGACGCATCACATCTCGAAGCGCGGCTTCCTCCCAACGCCCGCTGGGGTTGGCCGTTTGCTGCCGAGCGTGGCGTCCTCCTGCCCGCGGGGCGGCGGGTGAAGCTGTGCCTTGTTTTGATGGCAGTGGCGTTAGTGATTGTAAGCTGCAGAGTACAATCAGCTAATTACACTGCCTACAAACCGAGCACCGGGCGCCCGCGGGCTGCAGCTCCCCGACGGTCGGCGGCGCCAAGCCGTGGCCCCCAGCCGGGGGACCGCGGGCTCCGGGCCCCGTCTCCCCCCGGGCGATGCCCGACGGTGCCTGGGCGCGAGGACGTGGGCGCGGGGCCCCCGGGGACGCCCCGGGCCCCGCCGGCATCCTCGCCGGGCCCGAGGGCTGAGCTGGCCCCTGCCGGACCCCCGCGCACACTTGGCGTGGCAAGGCCAGCCGGCGGCGCTCGGAGGGGACCTGCACCCCCGGGCCGCGTCGCCCCAACTCCAGGTGTTCCCGGGTTCATCCCAGCCGCCGCCGTCCCCGCGCCGGTCCCCCGTGCCTTCCAGGGCCCGCCCCCGCAGGTTCCCTTCTCGGGTCCTTCCCTCTATGCTTTCTTGGGTCGGGCTCCCACCTTCTCACTCCCACGCCCTTTCCGCCCCAGAAAACTTCTCTTCAGTCCCAGCCCAAACCCTAAAACCGGCTTTCTCCACCCCGTGCGCCCCGCAGCTCCGAGTGGCCGAGTGACCGTGGCGGTGGCTGGCCAACCGTCCTTGGAACCCCGTGGCGGAGGGGGCGGGGCGCGCGCGAGGTGGGGTGGAGTGGAGGAGGGGCGGGGTGGGGGAGGGGAGGAAGCCACGAGCAGGGGCCGAGGGCGGGTCTCTGCGGGGAAGAGGCCCTGGAGACCCGAGGCACAGATTCCTGAGAAGTTTCTCTTCCTTCTAGGGCAGGAGGGACAAAGCGCTCCTTACTCCCTCCCCCTCCCCAAGAAGCCCCACACGCCCACCCAGTTTTCATGCCCATCTTGGTCAGGGGAAACAGCTTGGTCTGATACCAAATTGTAGGCTCTCATTTTCCAAACGGAGATAGGCCTGGGTGGCCTCTGGCATGTGGGACGACTGTGTTGGAGCGTCCCATCTGCACTCTCACCTTCCCCTTGGGTTTCTCTTAGACTCTTGGAGGGTCTTGCGGTGAGTGGAGGGTTGGCGCTTCTCATCAAATAGTGAGTGGACCAGCTCCTGAGTTAGATCAAAGCTTGGTCCTCACACACTTATTTAAATACCTGCTATATGTTCAGCACCCAAGGTCATTCATTCTACCCTCCATATGTATAATCACACATTACTTACCACTCAAGACAGTATATAATAAACCGTTAAACTGGGGAGAAATAGAAGTGGGGGTGGGGCGTCAGTGAGGACTGTAATTGTCAGGGAAGGTCCACCGAGGACCAGGAGCTCCAGTAGGTCCTCCAAGCAAGACTAAATTCAGGATGAGGGTTGGGGAGACCAGAGAAACAATGTCTTGTGACCAGTTACATTTTCTTCTCACAATTCCACATCTGATGGTGTAGATATATTTAGGTGTATTTGGACTAGACTGGACAAAAGAGGACAGTTCCAAAGAATTTCTGGGAGACCTCTACTAATACTTCTTTCCTTGAGCTACTCCTTCCCCTCTTTTCCTTCAGAGAATGTTAGGAGAGGATAAAGAATATTCTAATTCCATGCTTTGTGGAACTCAGTTGGAAGTAGCCCTCCACCCTTGTCTTCATGTATCTGGTATAGAGCACTCACTACTGACCCCAAGAACTTTGTTCTAAATTATTTTCCCCAGAGGAAAATTTCCCAGTTAGAGACGGATTCCCTAAACCCAGGAAATGGTTTCATAGATGCCACTGGTAGCATGAATTAGAGGTCGGTAATCTAGATCCTTCAAAACAAATTCCAAACTCACATTATCAAACCACCAGAACTTCTCAAGGAGGAGTTCGAGTTACGGCATCCTCTTTCACGATGAAAGACAGCATTTTTTTTTTTTTTTTTTTTTTGCCACTTGCATGTGTTCTGAGAACACCAATGTGAAAAGTAGGACGTTGAAGTACAAAATGTATGGTACAGAAAACATTAATTCTCGAGATGAACTAACAAAGTTAAATTACAAAAGCCGGGTCATTTCTAACTATTTTTTCGTATTCATCTTATCTTTGGGAGAAGCGCAGTGTTGGAGAAACACACCCCAGAAGGTCCCTCACACTTCTTTAACACGTACAGGATACCAAGCCATACCAGGCAATATGCTGGAATCAGAGCTAAGTAACCAGAGAGCTCTCTAGAGGTAAGTGTTGAACCGATTTGTATCTTACAGCTACACAGACATACATACATAAATGCAGGAGTGAAATAGCTTCCATTCCATTAGCCATAGGCAGACTTACAAGTTTTGGTCAGGACATAATTACAAAAACAATCCTGTTTTTTTTCAAATTGTTATTCACTTTACCCAATATGATATTAAATACCTCTTCTGATGGACATTTTATGATTATTAGTTGCATCTTAGCATTTCTTACCCGGGCTGGATTGCTGCCTTCCAAGGTCGTGGTTGCAGTAGATGCCTTGAAATTTATATTTTTAAAGATTTTCTTCCAAGATAATTAAAAAAATAAAGACAATGTGTGTAAAAGTCATCAAGATGCATTGCGTCCAGAAACCAATTTTTTAAAAATGCAGCCTATTTTGCAGGTCGTGCAACTAAAAGAAGTAAAATAATGAGAAAAAAATTTGTGTGTGGCCTTGTCCTGTGTGTGTGTGTGTATGTGTGTGTGTGTGTGTTTTAAAAGAATGCTTGTTCTTAGGGTTGCTGTTGATTTGGCCTGTAGTTACTACAGAAACTCCAAGGATCTCATTCCCTTTATGGTTCATGTCTAGGCATGCCTGGAGACCAGGGTGACCCATGATTTAATCTAAGTAAGAATGCTTGTGGTGTTTTAAATGACCAAACAGAAGATTGCATTTGTTTTAGACAAAACCAGGAAGGTACCTTTCAGAGAGACTGTTTACTGTTTTATTGAATTTCTGGGCTTTTGGTGATTCGGGTGTTGGAAAAGGAGTGCCAAGGAGGGGAGATGAGGTTGATGATTAGGAACAGAAGAGTAGAGAACACACATACCTTCTGCTTTAGCTTTGGAGAATTTGTACTGGTTAAAGTTATCACTCCTTGAAAAAACACTAGAGTGATGGGGATTGGGAATTACAAAAGATGGAGACAAACTTACTCTCTTAACACACATGGACACACCATCTGAACATTTTCTATCTTGTGTAGCTTTTGGAGGATGTTGTTCCAGAGGAAGAAGTGAGTGCTCGCTTTGGCAGCACATATACTAAAAAAAAAAAAAAAAACAGAGATAGAAGTGAAGAATCAGACTGATTAGAAATTACTGGACTTTAGCAGCTTCTTTTAAAATATATATTTTAAAAGATTTTATTTCTTTGACAGAGAGAGACATGGCAAGAGAGGGAACACAAGCAGGGGGAGTGGGAGAGGGAGAAGCAAGCTTCCCGCTGAGCAGGGAGCCCGATGCAGGGCTCTATCCCAGGACCCAGAGATCATGACCCAAGCCCAAGGCAGATCCTTAACGACTGAGACACCCAGGAACCCCTAGAAGCTTCTTTTAAAATGTATTTTCTTTTTTTTTTTTTTTTAAAGATTTTATTTATTTATTTGACAGAGATCACAAGTAGGCAGAGAGGCAGGCAGAGAGAGAGGAGGAGGCAGGCTCCCCGCTGAGCAGAGAGCCTGGTGCGGGGCTCGATCCCAGGACCCTGAGACCATGACCTGAGCTGAAGGCAGAGGCCTTAAACCACTGAGCCACCCAGGTGCCCTCAAAATGTATTTTCTATATACATATTTTCTCTTAGGAAATAGAAAACCATGGCTTGATTTTTATATAGATCAATAAATGTCAGACTACCTTATTAACATTCATGATACCATATTTAGGAACTAGTTTATATGTTGATACAAGACGAGGTTGACATCAACTTAATGCCTTTTTAAGAGTTAAAAATCAATGAATCTGCTCAATTATGAGAGGAGACTTTCTAGCTAAAATGAACTGTCAGAAATTTTTATGATTTCTTTCTTCTGATTCCATTTCATTGTGCTCTTATTAGTACGAGTGTACCAGATTCTTCATTAGTTTCTTGTAGTTGATTAATCAATACTATTGCTTTCAGTATGAAAATGTTAAATTATCTTTTAGTAAATCAGAAACAATCTAAAAAATAGGCTTTATAATTAAAGTTGCTTGAGTTCTTAAGGCTTCAGCAGTAGGAGCAAACCTGTTGCTTTTTTTACCATCTTGAGAGAACCCAGTCTAGGGATATATGGTCTAATTGGAGAGAGAGACAATTTGCGTACACAGGTAATTAAAATAGCTATAGTTTAGTAATTATATCAATATTAATATATAACTAATGTTATTTATATATTTATATTATATAATTATATTAAATAGCAAGATTGTTAGATTAATAGATACTTTAAGACTTCTAAATACTAATTTAAGCTTCATTATTGTTTTAAAATTAGTTTTTAATTTTACTTTTTAAATTTTTCATTAAAGATAATTGACATATACAGGGCGCCTGGGTGGCTTAGTCATTAAGTGTTTGCCTTTGGCTCAGATCATGATCTCAGGGTCTTGGGACTGAGCCCCATGTGGCTCCCTACTCAGCAAGGAATCTGCCCCTTCCCCCTTCTCATGCTTAGTCTCACTCTCAAATAAATAAGTAAATAAATAAATAAAATCTTAAAAGATCATTGACATACATTATTAGTTTCAGGTGTACAATATAGTGATTTGACAATTACATACATTATGAAATACTTCAAGTGTAGCTATCATGTACCACCATACCAAGTTAGCACAGTATTATTGAATAGTTTCCTTATATTTAGGGAATACAACATATTGTATTTTTCATCTCTGTGACTTACTTTATAATTGGAAATCTGTACCTCTTAATCCCCTTTACCTATTTTGCCCATTTCCCCACCCTTCTTCCTTCTGGCAACCACCAGCTTGTTCTCTGTATTTATGAATCTCTTTGTTTTTTGTTTCATTTTTTAGATTCCATATATAACTGAAATCGTATGGTATTTCCTTTGTTGGACTTACTACACTTAGCATAATCCCTCTAGGTCCATCCCTATTGAGATGAATTATAAGATTTCCTTCTTTTTTATGGCTGAGTAATATTCCATTATGTGTCTATATATACACATCTTTTTAATTTATCCATCTCTTGATGGACACTTGGGTCGCTTCCATATCTTGGCTATTGTAAATAATGCTGCAATAAATATAGTGGTGCATGTATGTCTTCAAATTAGTGTTTTTGTTTTCTTCAGACAAATACCCAGAATTAGAATGATTGCATCATATGGTACTTCAATTTTTATGTTTTGGAGGAATCTTCATACTGTTTTTTATAGTGGCTGCACAGTTTATGTAAGCTTCATTATTGCCACTATTTAGGAAAAAAGACAAAGCAAATCACTGAAGGTAGGGACACAGAAAAGGCTATATGGAAAATGTGGGGTCAAGCTGGGTCCAGAAGACAGAGGGGGATGTTCTTGGTAGAATGAGCAAGTTGTGAAGGAAAGATACCAGTCAGTTCATGGAGACCATAACACCTAGTCAGTTGGGAGAGCTATGAGTGTATCTCCCCTTAGGGAAATAAGATTAGAGAGGTAGTGACAGAGGAGATAGATCATGGAGGAACATGGGTGTCAGGCCACGGAATTTTAATCTCATTCTCTTGACTGCGGGGGCCCATGACTTACACGATATGTTGTTCTGTGGAGATTAATAAAGAGGAGTGGGTTAGAAGAGGGAGAAGGGGGAGGCTTAGTGTCCATTTGAGCAATTATTTTAAGGACCTAGGTATGAAGTGATGTAGAGAAATGGTATGAACAGGAGAGACTTTGGGAAGGAAATGGCATAGGACCTGGTGACTGATTAAAGCAAAGAGACAACAAGATGAACCTCCAGGTTCCAATGACAAACCAAGACCCTGGGAGGCAAACCTAGTCAGAGGCTAATTATTTACGTTCAGGCATGTTTAGTTTAGGTGATCAAAGGACATTGGATGTTGGATGTTGGGGGTTGGATGTTGGATGTTGGGGGCTGCAACCCTTGAAAGGAGAGATTTAGTCATTTCCTAAGTGGCAACCATTGAAGTCTGAGGATGAATGAACATCTGACATCTGCTTGGTCCACCCAGGACAGAGTGGGGGACCAGTAGAGGGGTGGGGGTGGGGTTCTTGAATAGAAAACAGAGTGAGGAAAGCAGAAGGCTCGGGACCAGCTTTGATTGTATCCGTGTGTTCTGTAAGGGGTGGGATAAGAAGTAGGTCTTGAGCCCACTAGAAGTAGGAGAGAGGACTCCCAGGGAAGCCAAGCTGTTGTAAACGGGGTTGTATACGCATGTGAATTCAAGGGAAACAGCTGCCTGGCCACCACCGCATCATGAGGTTTGATCAGTGGACAGATGACTGCACCCGCTCTTCCAGAATGTTCATCTCAGGGCTTTATCTATGGAGGGGTCCATGCACTTCTCTGAACTATTAGGAAACAGATGAACTTTCCTGGCTGCTTCCCACCACTGGTTAGCCCCTGTCCCCTCTCCAAAAAGCCTCTTGTAGATTTTTCATGTTTATAGAGGTAATTCAGGTCATCTGAGTATGCAGTTGAAGAAAGTCTGTTCTTAAGAGCTCTAGAGGGCGCCTGGGAGGCTCAGTTGGTTGAGCGATTGCCTTCGGCTCAGGTCATGATCCCAGACTTCCGCACCAAGTCCCGCATCAGGCTCTCAGCTCCTTGGGAAGTCTGCTTCTCCCTCTGACTTTCTCCTCTCTCATGCTCTCTCTCACTCATTCTCTCTCAAATAAATAAATAAAATCTTAAAAAAAAAAGTTATAGAATGTGTTCTGTAACTATATGAAGCCAAAAGCAGGAAATTGACTGATTATCTTGTTAATACATTCATCAGCATGAAAATACTTTATTCCATTCCTTTAAGTCTACTTGTTTTTATTTCTATTCTCCCCATTTGGCACGTAAGCTTTTTTTCTAAGTGGGGTTTATATTCTTTAGTTTTAAAGAATTATATAACTCTAAAAAGAATCACATAATTCTGATTTGTTGTCTTTATTTCCTCTATATCCATAGAGCACATAGCAAGGATTTCATCAAGTTCAAACATTTTATCAAGTTCATACTGTCTTTCCCTCTTAGCTCACCTGTAGCTTGTTTAAATCTCTAGCTTCATTCCTACTTCCTGGGTACAATCTTCCTTGGAGCCTGGAGCCTCATCGTGAGCTTTTCTTTCTCTAACTCCTTCTGCACTTAATATAGTCACTCTGCAATTAGCACCATCCATTAGTAAAAGAATAGTATTCTCCAGTGCTCTAATTGCATTTCTGAAATTAGCATTTTGTAATAGTAGAGAGTACTGGTGTATGTAACACACATTTATTATATTAGTACAGAGCACTGTGTATACATTGTCTTACATCCTGAGTTGTTTGCAGTGGACTATCTTGGTTTCCAACTTGATGTGTTTCATATATGTATGACTACACTGACTATAATATATATTTTTGGTCCTTGTAGCACGATGCCACTTACATTATGATTGCTCAATAATGCACATAGAA